AAATCCAAAACTGTATTTGGGGATACGAGTCATTCATGACCCTACGTTCCATCTTGGGGGGAGACGGTAGCAAAGTGGATTGGATTCCTTGCAAAGATGCGGAACTCTCGATTTTCTGCACTTCTGCTGAAACACATCCAGATTCAGGTGCAAAATCCAATCTTTGCTAGTGGGAGGTTGCTGCGTGCCATGGTAGTAACTTCAGTTTTTCAAACTTTTTCTGTTGTTTTAAGCTTCTCTACCCACCCCAGGTTCTTTCATTCATACGGTTCTGTGTGGGATTTGAGCCCAGGTCCTTGTTTCACCAGTTCATGGGGGTGCCCCAGCAAAGTGAACCGGTGAGGTGCCCGGGATCGCACCTTGTGACAAAGCTGCCCAAAACAAGATACTGGCCCTATGTGAACAGCTGCGGCCTGAGTATTAACTGCCGTTTCGAACTTGAGTCAGGCAGACTTTATGATATGAGGTGTTAAGTAAAGAAAGAAAAACTTTGTATTCTCCAGAAGAAGCTATCAATGAGGTCTTTAAGTAAAGAAAGAAAAACTTTGTATTCTCCAGAAGAAGCTATCATTGAACTTTATCGTTATTCTTGTTCTGTTAGTGGAGAAATCTCATTTTCAGAAAACATCATAATTATTTATAATTTATATTTAATCAATTATTTATATTCATTATATTTTATTATATTCATTATATTTTATTAGATTACTATATTATTTATTAGATTATTATATGCTGTTAAGTTACTGGCCCTGTCTGAACAGCCAGCCTGAGTATTACTTGCCGTTTCGAACTCGAGCCTGGCAAGCTTTCTGATATGAGGACTCTTTTGCCAATGCGGAAAAAAATTGAAAAACTTAATTATTGACTGAGACGTGAGGATTTGAGAACTAGACACATTATTGACTGAGACGTGCGGATTTGAGAACTAAACACATCAGAAAAAACAAACTGAAGTGCTCTGCCGTCATGCCCTCAGATGCACGAAGATCCACTGGAAAAAGATGTGGATAGTAAATGAGAAATGCACTGAAGACTCAGATGCATGCGGGAAGTTGCCAGTACTAGAATCCTTTGGGGCGACTAGAATCCTTTGGGGCCACACTCGCTAAGTCTTCTGCTCGGGAAAAGCTCATCCAGTTCCATTCAGTCAAAATTTTGAAAACTGCATTTGAAATGAAGGGCAACAGCTCAGTGGTTGCACCGCAGCAGGCAGGTCCTGCATGGAAACCTAACCATAACCCCTTCCCAATGAACGCAAGAGCAGAATTGAGCAACTGTTAAACAACTACTAACTCCGACCTGGTAAAAAAAAAAAAAAAAATCCGACCCTGATTTTCACGACTGAGTTTTGCCAAGCCTGGCGTTTGCACGACACCATTTCGTTTTTCTTTTCCAGCAGTGCTAAAAAAGAAGGAAAAGAAAAAAAAAAAGAGAAAAAAAAAAAAAGGAAAGCATTGCTGACCCCGTAATAGCTAACACGTACATTCTATGAAGTGCTACTGTGATTGTGCCCTCCTTAAGGGCGTCTGTCCGAGACACAACTGTTACAGTAGAAGCAAAACTGAAAATTCAACATCGCTTACGCTGTATAGCGGTCAGATACACGGCGCTCCAGTACTAGTGTGAGTATGCCCTCAGTGAGGGCGTTGCTGGCCCCCGGTGGATGACGCCCTGCCTTGCTGGCAGGGCACTACAAACAAAAAGAAGAAAAAAAAAGGAAAAAAGAGCCATGATAGCGGTCAGAGACACGGCGCTCAGTGAGGGCGCTGCTGCCCCCCGATGGATTACGCCCTGCCTCCCTGGCAGGGCACTACAAACAAAAAGAAGAGAAAAAAGAGAAGAGAGAAAGAAAAGAAAAAAAAAAGTTAAAAAAACACATGTTCCCCTAATAGTGGCCACATGCATTCTGGGAAGTACCAAGTGTGACAATACCCTCTGCGAGGGCCTTCCCCGACATCATTGATGCCGTAGCTGTCAGGCCTTTTCTTTTTTCATTTTTTTGTTCGCATATCAATTTTATTCAAAATTTCAGCGACAGGTGCCGGCCCTGCACGGAGGCAGCTTGGAATGTCACAAAGTACCCTAGTTTCTTGAGAAGCTTCCACAACAAATAATAAAAGTAAGATTAAGATTAAGATTAAGAATATTAAGATAGGATATTATGAATACTGTCCTAAAGCAGGACTTCTAAGATGGTTGTGTTATGCGATCCCAAGATGCGGATAGTAAGCCAGGTGTGTAAAGGAAACATCCTTAACATAATAATTGATAATAAAAATGTTGTAACTTCTTTTTGAAAATTTTATGGCATAGGACATAAAACACAGTAGCAATACTCAGTGTTTGAAAAAATAAAGAAATTATTGAAATATTGGAACAATACGCTTGAATACAGTAGAAATGAGGAAATGGAAGTAGTCTACAACTTTCCATTTTCATTTAGGCGCATCAGAATATTTTATCAGGATAACGCTGGCCAGAGCTGGGGTGAGCTGTGCTGCCCTGTAACTTAGCATGTTGGGGGTGTGAGGCCTGGCATTGTCCTGGTATCGAGGTCATGGCAGGTTTGTGTTTGGTCGGGTGAATAGCACTTGGGTAGGGTTTTTTTTTTTTTTTTTCCTTAATTGTTTCTTTGTTTTTATTGTTTCTTTTTTTAGGTAGTTAGGTTGTTGATTTCCGTAGGCTCCTGAGTGATGTGGAACTGTGGTTTCTTGGAATATTCCAGTAATTTGTCTGTAGTGGGTTCTCATGAGTAGCCTAGTTAGCCCTAGTTTTTTTAATACCTCAGTCGCTTTTTGTATATCTTATTATGTTCACGAACGGTCCTGATTTTTCCCGAATTTTTGCAATTGTCTCGGCCAAAGCTGAGGAGAGTAGACTACCATATGTACCACCTGCAGAGTGCTGTACTGAAAGGTTATCACCACCAGGGTGATCTCATAGAGACCAAATCCTGCAGCAGCTAAACATAAAAGGGCCTTCACAAATCAGACGCTAAATGGATGCCCCAATAGTAAGGGGCCCTGTCGGCCACGGGCAGCAACTCAAAAGACAAAGTTCCTGAGGTAAATGTCGCATCCATAATGAAGTGAAAAGTTATTTTGAAAGGTCATAAACAGGTCCGGAACGAACAGGTATTGGACACAATTCTCAAGACTGAGTCAGGGCCATGTCTCCTCGATGAAAAGTCGTGTCTGTTCGTCAGTGAGTCAAAGGCTACAGTCCCAGTCCAGTCATAATCCCATGAGTCAGTCCTGATTCAGACCAGGAGTCCCAAAGACAGGCCCGATGGCCCAAAGCAGCAGCAGACCATGGGAAAAGATACTGGGACACACACTTTGCAACAATCGGTACTGGGCAGGAGTCCCTGGCACATTTGAGGCTAAATGCAGGCCACACCAGACCAGTCCAGCACTATAAAGGACTGGCCAGCCTCCCATTTGGATGGATGCTCACTTCGCATGAGAGTGGAAGTGTCGTGGCACTTGTGCGCTAGATGTGTGTGAGCTGCGCTAGGCTGAAGAGCAGTGCTATGTGGGAAGGAGGAAGAGACTTCGCAATCTGTGAAATCAGTGTAAGACTGTAAGTGCATATGATCTGATGCACTCCAGCAAGTGATGTACAGTCGGGTTCTTTGCAAACACCCTGGTTTTGGATCAATCCCCATTTTCGTCTTCCCATAGAGAGGAAGTAAATGCTGGGGAAACCCATGAAACCTTCTCAATGCCGCTCTGTGATGACCCACCTGAGGTCCGGCTAGCATATGGTTTACATGCCTTGTGCCATGAAGATTATGAAGGGATAGCCCATGCAAGTTCTCTTTTTCATACTTCTGATGACAGTCGATACTGCACTCATGTACTGCACCCTAACATCTCATGTCCAATTTGTAGACGGGCTGGAACAGCAATGCCTGTGCAATTGCGGTCGGTGTGCCTCTGTGTTCCTAGCATGATCTCCTCAGGTCACCTTGCTTCTCCAACCTTAAACCACCAGTACACGGCCGCAGCCTTGCAGAAGATGGACTTGTCCCCCCACTACCTCAACTTTCGGGGCTGGGCGAACATGGGCAGCCATTGATAAATTTCATCATCAAATTGAATGGCCTTTGTGGTGTTTCCAGGCCTCCGAAAGTCGCGGTGAGGGGCCCGCGGCCGATGTATGGCCAATTTCATCAATGGCTTTGTCATGTTTCCGGGCCTCCAAAAGTTGCGGTGAGGGGCCCGCGGCCGATGTATGGCCAATTTCATCAATGGCCTTTGTCGTGCTTCCGGGCCTCCGAAAGTCGCGATGAGGGTCCCGCAGCCGATGTATGGCCAATTTCATCAAATGGCCGTTGTCGTGTTTCCGGGCCTCGCTAAGTTGTTGAGGGGCCCATGGCCGATGTATGGTCAATTTCATCAATGGCCTTTGTTGTGTTTCCGGGGCTCCGAAAGTCGAGGTGAGGGGCCCGCGGCCGATCAATGACCAATTTCATCGATGGCCTTTGTTGTGTTTCTGGGCCTCTGAAAGTCACGGTGAGGGGCCTGCAGTCGATGTATGGTCGTGTACTGGTGCTTTACTTCCTGCTTGCCCATTTGTCCATCAACTGTTATTCTCCTCCTGTCCCTGAGTTGCAGCACTCCCTTTTCCGTTTTTTTCTTAATTAACTGCACCATTTTTTAAAACTGATGAGCTGTAATGATATTTCTTCTCTGCAGGAGGGGTTTCCTCGACTTCCATGGCACTAGAGGTAGTAGCTTTAATTTGTCTTGACCACGATTTTGAACGTCCATGATTCATATGGATTTGCTGCCATCCTTGTTCGAAGTGGATGACCAGCCTCTGTATGTACTGGTGTGAGGATGCGGATTTGCATAATCATCTGAAAGAAAAAGAAATGTATTAAATAAAACAGTTAAAACTTCGTAAAAGTTATAAAATAATAAAACAAAGGAAAAACAGAGAAACAGAAGGCTCAACGATGTTGCTTTTTGCGTTGTTTTGCCATATTGCAGGACACCAGCGACCGGCATCGGTGGGTGGGACCAGCAGTGTGATCTGCTGGCCTGCGGTAGGCTCCTGAGTTTTGTCGTCTTTTGTTGCTGGGCGAAATGGCATCTTCTGCAGCTGCAGTATGGACAGCATCGACAATGTCCTCGGCAGTGTCTACTGCCAAGGTCAGCTCACAAAGAGCTGAGCATGGGACTGCAACTCGGAAGGGGAGCTCTTGTTGTGTCGGCAGATTGCTGAACCTTCGTCACCAGTCTCCATCGCCCTCGCAGTCAGCAGTGTGCGCTGGAAGGTTGTTGCTGTCACCATCCAGAGAAGCCACGTGTGCCCGGCGCAACGATTTATCAGCTGTGTTGTCGGGGTATTCTCTCACTGGTGCATTGTTGTCCCCGAAGTCCAACGGGTTGGGTCGAAGTTTGTACCTCTCTGGACAGGAGATCTTGCCTCGTGGTTTGGGTCCCGTTTCGTTGAGCAGGCCGAAGAAGCATGAGGGCGGTGGTAGGACTATAGTCTGCAAAGCGTACGATGCTGCGGGTGCAGGCAGTGTTCCAGATTCCTCGTCTGCAGCAGCCGCTGCTGCGACATCTCCTAGCACTGCTGCAGACTCAACCAAGGCAGGAGCCGGACCCGTCCGTCTGGCGATCATTTTTGGCCTGTGGTATTTTTTCAATGTTGTTTTCAATATTTACAACAAGAAGGTTCTTAATGTGTATCCGTTCCCATGGCTGACCTCAACGCTCTCTCTCGTGGCGGGAACCCTTTTTATGCTGGTCTCTTGGGCCATCCGGGCGCAACCAGCCCCACGCTTGTCGAAGGAGTTCTTGTGGGCCCTAGCACCTGTGGCATTGTTTCACACGATTGGTCACGTGGCGGCAACCGTAAGCATGAGCAAGGTTGCTGTGTCATTCACTCACATCATCAAGAGTTCCGAGCCCGTCTTCAGCGTCTTCGTGTCCAGCCTCTTCCTCGGGGAATCGTTTTCTCTGCCCGTCTACCTTTCCTTGCTCCCCATTGTCCTTGGATGCTCCATCGCCGCAGTCACAGAGTTGACGTTCAACGCTGTCGGGTTCTGGGGAGCAATGATTTCGAACGTTTCTTTCGTGTTTCGTAACGTCTTCTCCAAGAAGGGCCTTATCAACTTCAAGGAGATTGATGGAATCAACTTGTACGCAATGATCACCATCGTCTCTTTGGTGTATCTCACTCCATTGGCACTTTTTGTTGAGGGGCCTGCGGCATGGACGGCCGGTTGGAATTCTGCTACAGCGCAAATTGGGGTTCAACAGTTAGCTTGGTAAGTCTCTCAGACTCTCTCTGCTTGGTTGCACATGCGAGCTGCTTTCGTTGGGTGGTCTGGAGAGGCGGTTAACGGAGACCCAAAATTTCAGCGTTTTTTGTATGCTATTTATAAGAAAACCAGAAGCCCTTTTTAACCAAAAATTTCATCATTCCATAGAGTGCACACCATACTAACGAACCATTGAAAAAAAAAACGAAAGAAAAAAATAAAAACAGGGTGAAACAGGAAGGCAAAAGTGCACTTGAATGACATTTTGGATTCAGTGAATTTTCAGAATTTTGTGGTGGTCGAGAGGCGGTTAACGGAGAATCGTGGTCTCAGGTCTGCCAATGGCATTCATTGTGTGAGATATGCCGGGGAACGGCAGAGAGAGTTCCTCTTAACTTTCTGGTGAGATCATATGATGATGGTAATGACAGGATGATGAGGACGATGAGGATGATGAGGATGATGAGGATGGCGGGGTAGGTGTAGGTGCATTTCATTTTTTATGCTGGTTATTTGGAGCCCTTGTAAATGAGCAAAACCAGGTGCTTGAATTCTACAACGATAAGGACGATTGGTTCCGTTGGCAGGCCCCTAAACTTTCTGGTGAGATGATGAGGATAACAGTGATGGTAGTGACGGGATGATGAAGATGCTGATGATGATAGGTGTGTGTTATTTTTATGTTGTTTTAGGAAATGAGTACAGTAAAGATTAGCATGGCCCCTGCGCAAGGACGACTCACATAAATCGAGCAATCGTCCAAATTAAATAAGGAAACGATTACAGTGCTTACTACACAGCTTGGGTGGTTATGGACTCATGATTAGATGATGGAAATGACATAAATGAGGTCATGATGGGATGGCAATGATGACAATGATGGCAGTGTTGAAAGATTGGTAATAGATATAATTATCTTCCCCCCTTCCCCTCCCTTCCGCTCCCTTTCCCCCTGCCTGCCACCCTTCCCCCCCACTTTTGCCCC